CTTTACTACGAGACGGTTCTCAGCGCCTCCGGAACAGCGCTGTTGCCGCTTTTTGTATAAAGAGAATAATACAACGCAAAAAAGTTAAGAATAAAAAATCTAGAGTATGGGTACACCCCATTAACATGGCAAGAAGTGTACACGGTGCATTTGTGACATTATACTCAACTTTGAGGGAAGATGAACGCAAATTTTTTAACTATTTTCGCATGTCTACAAGATCCTTTGATGAGCTACACGGCAAACTAGAAAATCGATTAAAATTTGCTAATCACATACGAATATCTGTCTCATCTGTGGAAAGACTCTGTGTAGCTTTGAGGTAAGTATTTTGGTCCCGATCCCAGCTAAAACTGCAAAGTTATCGCAGAGTTGTTTTTATTAGTAACCAAAACATATTTTCTAAAACGTTAGGTAAGCATTTGTATTTCACCGAGGTCTTCACTGTCCACACCTAGTAGCTGCGTTAGAGTGGGCTGGTGAGATTGAGTATATGGTTGCATTCTACTTGATGATGCAGCAGATGAAGGCCTTTGTACGTCGTTGGTGTCGTTAATCAATAATGAGATACGTGTGATTAGATTTATTAATTACACCTAGTCATATCTACAGTTATGTACAGTACCGCTTGTCACGCTGTCATCGATGAGATCCGTCCCTAACAGCCTTGGGTATGATACTGGTGATGGTGATGGGGTGCAGCTTGAAGCATATGCAGCAGATTGAGGCCTTGAGCAGGATGCACTTGATTGGGAGTCAGTAGTATGATGGTTGGGATGAGGGTAAAAAGCTCCATACCCATAATTCATTGGTGGACCACTTGATTGGTAATGTATGTATGCATGGGGATCACCCATTTGTGGCAGTAGTTGATGGTTTTCGGGTTGCTGAAAAAATGGACGAATTTTTTTAATGTCCATCATTATACGAAGCACTTCCGCGCGAAACTGCAGCTTCTTATCCTCATCAAAACCTTTTAAAGTTGGCAATAGTGAAATTAAAAATGATCTGTCAGCATCTTCTTCTTCCGTTGCTTTCTCATTACTTTTCTCTAGCAATGAAATCATTTTTTCACCCAATATGTCGTCCTGTCGCCGCTTCTTTCTTTCAAACCTTTTTCGTGTTTCAGGTGCATTAGCATCAGGTTCTTCTACAATATTTTCTTGAGTATGTGGTTCGTCTTCTGATAAGTCACTATTATCATGTGTAGTTCTAATTTCATCGTCCTCAATGCTATTGTGAAGGCTTGTTTCTGTATTATTTATATCTAAAACGCTATCGAGAAACCTTAAATTTTCGAAATATACATATTTCTTTATGCCTTTTGCAGCTTGTCCAGATTTGGTTTTATATACTTTATTACGATCTCTTCGGTATGCATCACGAGCTGTTCTCCACCTCTGTACAACAATTTTCACTGAAAATAAAAAAAAACAACCTGTATTACTAATAATCATTTACACCCTGCAGCTTGATTCTTTTGAGGTACTGTCCACGTAAAGAGGTAATTGGGCTATTGTTTCAGATATCTGGCAAGTGGCAACACATTTACAGACCTGCACTATTCATACAGATTAGGGATATCAACCATAAGTGCAATAGTGGAACTTGTATGTGACGCCATATGGGACATACTGAGACCGGAAGTTTTCCCTGAACCTACAAGAGAAAAGTGGCTGGAAATTGCATCGCATTTTGCCCGTTATGCTAACTTCCCTAACTGTATTGGGGCCGTTGATGGGAAACACATCAGAATAATCAAACCCATAAACAGTGGTTCTACTTTTTTTAATTACAAAAAATTTTATTCGGTAGTTCTCTTGGCAATTTGCGACGCGAATTACTGTTTTACATATGTGGACGTCGGAGCTTTCGGGAAATTTGCGGACTCCAATGTGTTTGTTAACAGTCAATTTTGGAAGAGATACCAGAAAAAATTGTTAAATCTTCCTGAAGATAGATATCTGCCAGGAACAGAGAAGCCAATGCCTTTTGTTATTGTTGGCGATGATGCGTTTAGTCTAGGTCCACATTTATTGCGTGCCTATGCCAGGAAGAATTTAACGCATAAGAAAAAAATATTTAATTATCGACTAACTCGAGCTAGGCGTTACATTGAGTGTTCTTTTGGAATTCTCTCCAATAAATGGCGAATTTTTCACAGACCTCTCAATGTATCGCTTCGCTTGTCCAAGAAAATTATCCAATCCTGCTCTGCTTTACACAATTATGTATGCATTAGAGACGGCTATGCATTTCATCATACTCTTACTGTGAAAGGTTTTGCAGACGTTGAACATGCTATAGTAGAAACTAATAGGTCAGGATTTTCTGTAAGAGATGGTTTTGCAAAGTATTTTACTAGTACAGAGGGGGCGGTACCTTGGCAAGACTCCAAAATATATTAGTTGTACTGATTTTAATATGTCAGTAATGAAAAATATAACCACAAATATATGTATGCTACCAAAAAGTATTTTTTCTCCAACCACCTGAATAAGACGCTATTTTGTGACAGTGTTCGGTACGTAAAATTGACGTTTTGCGGATTAATCGCTTTCACCATGGCAACTGTACAAAAAGTGGATACTTTTGGTCCTAGTACCAAAAAGAAATTGACCTTGAAAGTTGGCCAATTAAAAAATTACAATCACGGAGATATGTCACATTGACATCGTTTTACATTGCAGGTTGTAAGATATTTCTATACATACAAATCAAATATTTTTGCATATTCAATGCAAATAATGCTGTTACCTATACGTATGTACATGTATTGAAAATGATTTGCGCTCCCTATTTTTATTTAAACCATGTGTAACTGTAACGTAATTTACATATTTGGTGAACGTAATTTTAATACGTATACAACCCGCCGTCGCGCGTAACGCCATCTACTTCAGACCCATTGCACTATTATCTGTCATTTTGAATTCAAAATTTGAAAAAGTTAATTGCAATTAATTTTAATTAAAAAACTGTATGGTAAGTTTTTTATTTCAATACAAAATATAACAATATTAATTGTGTATACAATAAAATGACTGAAACTGATAGCGACATGGATTGCACTCCGCCAGAGATTATAGAAACGGCAGAACATGCTACCTCAAGATTTGCTCCCTACAAAGTCGCGAGAGGTGAGAAGTAAGAAGTAAGAACGAATAGGTTATAAGTTAACCTAAAAACTAGAGTGGCATGACACGTGAGGACAAGAAAGCAGAAGTTCTTATACTAGTAGTGAAACTGTGACTGAATCTAAATTCGAATATAATTTGAAGTAAAGGGGGTTGGAGAAAAAATTTTATGTTTTATTCGTACAAAAAATGCGTTTTCGGGACTCGGAAGGTTGCTGGACTCCGCTGACGCGTCGTCCAGCAACTATCTTCCTCGTCCCGAAAACTGACATTTTTTGTACTAATGAAACAAATAACTATTTTTTACTTTTTACGGCGACTTTTATAGTAATATCTGAGGTAGGTCTTCCAAGATGTTTAATTTCCATTTTTGCTCCAATGGTAAAGTAAAAAAGGGGGTTTTTAAAATAAATTGTACCGAATTCATTTTAAAAGTTCACAGTTACACTTACGTTCGAATTATAGCGTTAATAATCAGAAATGAACAATTTATAATTACGAACGTGCGCACCGTCGCGTCGCCTGCTTAAAAATGCATTTGACAGCTAGCCTGAATGCGCCAGAGTTTGTAATTAGAATCCCGTGCTCCCAGCTCCCACTGCTAGAGTACATTGCGCTATACCTGATGCATATTTTAAGTGCGATTTGCTTGCTATGCGCTATAACGCAATATAATGGAAAAAAATATCTGTGAATTATTATCTTTAATTTATTAGTATTAGTACGCTGAAGTTAACTCATTGTAATTTGCAGGAATATATTTCCTATATTATTCAGGTGGCGCGCGAGCATGAGAGCACTTTAGTAGTAACCGCCCCTGAAGGAGCGTAAGAGATTTATTTTCTGTTAAGTCAAAGCAACAATATTCAAACTAATCAATATGACAGTGAGATGTTTACTTGTTTTTTTGGATGTATAAAATTATGTTTTGAAAGTAGAGATAGGGAAAAACAATATACATAAGTCCCTATGTCTACTTCTGAATAAATATCATTGTATATTTAATTCAATGAGACAGGTCATATCCTAGCCTGAACTCAAACCATGAAAATAAACCCTGAATATACCCCTATATTGCTGTCATGGTGAGACAGGTCATGTCCTAATGCAGGTGACTGAGCTCTTAACCATTAACAAAACTGGTATATTATATGTACTCTTCGTACTGTGAGCCCTTGGCGTGAATGTCAGGCTCCGTTACATAACAGTCGTAATAAACTCTGTTGTGTAAACAATGGCATTCAGGTCATTGTATGTAAGACATTTGGAATGGATTCAGGTGCCTATTTGGTTAATTAATGTCATCAAAATTTTGTTTTCTCTGTTTAATGTCGTGGGTCTAGTTAAGTTTTAACACAAAACAATTTTCCGAATCAAGCGTGCATTGAAGGTTGTATTTCTTTATAAATGACCTCGGTCACAGACATCCACACACCCTGTTAACGGCATCTCCGGTGAGTCCAAACGAGCAGGGGCGCCGACTCCGTGGGTGCTCCGGGGCTGAAGCACCCGCGAGAATTTTCGCATGGGTGCGGAGCACCCATGAGCCAGGATGCAGTGCTTTTTCTCCGTTTAACCGAATAATTTTTCGACACGGAGTGTTTCAGGTGCATGATCTGCGCTGCGCAACAGGTAGGGGGGGATATTGCCGGGCGCAGGTCGCAGGACTCGCAGGACGACGCAGGCGTTAGTTTATTCGTGCAATTCGTGAAGTGAACTGTGAAGATTTGGAGCCAAATATATTTTTTTCCTAGTGACAAAATGACTGTGTGATTGGTTGTTTCGTGCTTTGATTGATAGGACTGGCGCCTGGCGGCACTATTCTTTTTCTCTCACAACGGACCACATATTTATCGCGACAAAATGGACAAATTTGTGATCCGTGCAGGCCGTGCAGCAGCATCGAAAATAATTGATAGTTCTCCCACGAGTTCTACGTCAACATGTAGCGCGGTGAAAGATGCCTCAGCCTTGGGCAATTGTGACGATGCTACTGCTAATGACATTAGTGTTCAGAAACAGAATACAGCAGAAAGTGGAAAAAGGGGGCGTTCTTATCAAGAACAGTGGAAAGAAAAATACGGTTGGATTATTTACGACAAGAGTAATGACAAGGTGTTTTGCTCAGTGTGTCAGGAAGCTTTGTCATCGGGTGCCCCCATGCCAAAAAAATCTTCTCGAGATGAGGAAACAATTAAGGCTTACACACAAACTGGCTTTTCCTCTTGGAACAAGGCTTTAGAGCGATTTGCAGCTCACGAAAAATCGGAAGTTCATCGTTTTTGCTGCACCCGAAAAAAAGCAATCGATGATGGAGTCAATGTACATGCATTGATATCTAAGGGCAAGATAAATGAAATGAAATCCGCTAGAGCAGCTCTTCTCAGGATGATTTCTTCGTTGCGTTATCTAATGGTTCAGGGATTAGCAATTCGTGGCCATGTCGATGAAAATTCCAACTATCGTGCATTATTGGCTTTGGTTGCCGAGGATAATACAGATTTGGCATCTTGGCTTCAGCGTTCTAAATACAAGTGGCTTTCTCATGATGTTACCAATGAATTAGGTTCAATTATGGCTCATGAGGTGTTAAAACACTTAGTGAAACTCGTGAAAGATAGAGACGCTCCATATTTTTCTGTCTTAATTGATGAAACTGCTGATGTGACCAATCATGAACAGGTGTCTATTTGTTTCCGATTTGTAGATGACGATTTTGAGATCAACGAAGTCTTCTTTGGTTTTTATAAGACTGAATCCACCACTGCTGAAACTTTGAAAAATATTTTGCGTGATGTTCTCACTCGTTTTGATATTGATATTAAGTTTTGTAGAGGCATTGCGACTGACGGAGCGGCGAATATGACCGGTGCTTTATCGGGTTTGCAGGCAAAAATTCGAGAAATCGAACCACGAGTTATTCAAGTTCATTGCTTAGCCCATTCGTTGAATCTCGTTGTTCAAGAGGCAATGAAAGTACAGTCAACTGTGAGAGACTATCTCGCAACTGCTAAGGATCTGATAACATTTGTGTGTGCATCTCCAAAAAGACAGGCCATGTTTGAATCCCTACAAATGTCAGATGATGATACCTTGGACAATGTAACTCAAACTCATCGGCTTCGCCCTTTTTGTCCAACCAGATGGTGCTGCCGAATAAGTTCTTTGAAAACGATTATACAAAACTACGAAGAACTTGTATTGTTTTTGACTGAAATTGAAGGTACCGACAGATCTGATGTTGGAGCAAAAGTGAATGGCTTCTTGAAGCATTTGCAGTCTTTTGAATTCATTTTTATGTCGTGTTTTTTAATAAAAATTCTTGATCCTGTAGAAATGTTGAACGCTGCACTGCAGAGTTCTTCATTGCATCTACAAATGGCTATGAATAATGTAGATAATACTAAAGAATTAATACAATCCTATCGAACTGATGAGCATTTTGATGAGGTCTGGAATTCTAGTTTAGGAATGGCCGAAAAATATCAAGCTGGTGAACCAGAACAGCCAAGAATGAGGCAAGTGCCAAAAAGGTATGATAGTGGCGCACAGCCCACTAGATTTTTAAGTCCGAAAGACTATTACAGACAAATTTACTATCAAGTGGTAGACACAGTGATAAACTCCATCGATGATAGATTTACACAAGCGAGTACTTCTCATTTAAAGCACGTTGAAAGTTTCCTTCTTAGAAAAAATAAGGAAGATGAAGACCAAGACTATGTGACCACATTTTACAAAGATGACTTTGATAGCAACCGTCTGATTTTGCACAGAGATATGCTCTTAGATATTCTGAAGTCAAAGAGTGTTTCACCTAAACATTTCGGTGATTTAGTGGAGTACATAAAGGCCAACGAAAATATTCGAGAGCTGATCCCAGAAGTAGTCAAACTTATTAAAATAACCCTGACAATTCCTGTTTCAACATGTACGGCGGAACGATCTTTTTCCAGACTGCGGAGGTTGAAAACCTATTTACGCAACAGTATGACTCAAGTTAAATTGAATGACAACGCAATCATGCATGTTTATAGAAAGCTTGGGAATCTATTAGATCTTAGCTTTGTGGCGGATACTTTTATCAAGCGAGCATCTGTCCGTCGGAATACATTTTACTTAGGTACATGAGAAGTAAATTTATTATTTTTAATCGATAGGTACTTATTTGTAGTATTGTGGAATGTAGTTGTACTTGTACTGCACTCTTCTTTATTTTATTTGTAGGTACTCTTCTACTCTTATTTTTTGCTAATAAATCTTAAAACAGTTGTTTACCGTCGCATTTGTTTTATGCTTATTCATTAATCATTTATTTTTTTCTCATTCTTCAGCTAAAAACTGCGTTTAAAGAGTTTCAAAATTTAAACATCGAAAGAGGACCTTTTGACCCCTCGTAAACCGAGGGAAGGGGGAGGATACTCGACTTTCCTCCTAAGCCCCCTCTTTAATGGCCTCGAAACTGAAAGTGAGCACCCATGAGAATTTTCAAAACTCGGCGCTTGTGCAAACGAGACATCCCAAATGGAGGCAAGCCAAGGGGAAACGAATTTATTGTCCAAGGGGACAGCGATGGGAATAGTTGCACGCCCATTCGCCATGATACCTGGAGAGCGAGGGTTTCAAGAAACAGTTTCTGTACCTAGACTGGGTCACGAGCACCCAAACTTCCGTAGACAATCTAAAGCAATTTGTACCATAGGTAATTACACTGATCACAAAATAAGCAATGGGTATTTTTTCATGTGTCGTGCTTTACTTACTATTTTTGGCATTATTATGATTGTCGTGACTAGCGTATAATTAAACTGATTACCGATTACAAATCAATTTTTGAAAAGGTTGTGTTAATTGGTAACGCTTTAAGCTATTAATTGTACTGTAATTACATTGGTAGCAGTTGAAGTTATTCAAAGTGGGATGTGTCAACGAATTACGTAGTTATATTATATGACCTATTATTTGTTGTGTAATTGCACTGTTCACAGACTTTGGGAATGGGGACTAGGGTTGCAAAATAATTGACCTGGTCACGATGCACTCAAATGAATTTCTTTTTCTGTCTTCCATCTCATTCTCTAAAAATCTAAAATGGCCGAATGGCGTCCATAAGAAATAAGAAAGTAGTAGCCTGTAGCTTCTACATCTAGCGTGTTATGGAAATTCTGATAACAGCTTCAAACTCTCTGAAAAAAGTGCCCATACAAGGTACTAACGGGAACCGTCCATTTTCAACCGTTTAAGCTAGAGAAATTGAAAATAACATTTGACATTCTAGTTTTTTGGTTATATATTAGTTGTTTGTCAAAAATTTCAAATGCGTTTTTTTAGTTACAAAAAGGGGAAACTTTGCCCCCAGATAATCTGCACTGTATCTCTCACTCTTATAGAGATTCCAATGGTGAGCCACGCATGAGTACATAGTAACTAAACCATAAGCGACCAAATATTGACAATACAAGCTGAAAGTACGTTGAAAACTAGTAATAAAATCACTGGTCTGCCAGTCGTAAGTGGCAGCATTAACTTGAGGCGGCGCTGAATAAGTGACTTCTCTAGGTGATCAACTAAATTACTAAATTATAAGGGTCACGGAAAAGATTTGTATCAAGAAATCACATTTTTTTCATACTCTTCAAATATGCTATGGCAGACTATTTCAAGTGCAGCGTTGGTGGCGCTAGACGCCCTTCGATGTAGGGAAAAACCCCTGAACTAAACCATGAGGACCGTATAAAAATGATACATAAAAAAATTCCTCTTTTTGTCACTACTTTAAATATATCCTGGCAAACGATATTAAGTGTAACTTTAATAGTGGCAGACATCTTACATCAACCATTTGATTCTAAACTTCTCATTCACATAGTTCCACCCACTTCAATCAGACAGATTGTAGAAGGTCAGACATTTTGCGGTGGCATTCGCCCAAATTGCGATGAACTAAACCATGAGGACCATACACAAGTCATACACCCAGTAAATACGTGGGAACCCAGTAACGCGTTACTCTGCGCGTTACACACATCAACAACCAAATTCACGAAACTCTCCCCAATATTTATGAATTTCTGTGTGTTATTGGAAAACCTCCATCTACATATACCTTGATGGTAGCCTCAATTTTACTTACATTTCCTAAAGCAATATGAGCAATATCCATATCGGAAGCGCTAATAATGACTTCTCTACTTGTTGGTAGTTTACCAAGATGGTAAATTATTCGAGAATCTGCCTCTTAGTGACTGCAGAACAATTCAGTTTTTACCACATCATCTTCCCTTGTCACAAATTTATAGCACTTATCTTCATATGTGGGAAACACAACTTTCCTTCCAAGTAAAGCACAATAGGTCTTTTTTGCCCATGATTGGTATAAGTAATCTATAAGAGAGGCTTTGAAACTATCATTGCGAAGTGCTTTTATGTAATTTGCAGGATGCTTCTGACTGACGATCATGTTTTGCGTCCTTCATGGAAGGGGTAACTTTCTGTCAAAAATCAGATGAACTTCTCTCGCTGACACAGCACAAATCTTGCCGAGGATGTGTTCAGAAAATCGCTCAAAGTTTTACCAGGGGTCTTTTAAGAGATACAGAAAAAATAACCCATCGATTAAAACAACATCTACAACTGGCGATGGACTAGGAGAATCATACTTCCGAAAAAGTTTAAGCAAAACAAACTTGTCGATTTTAATCATCGATCCATCAATGTTGCATTGAGACAACGGCACTGGAGTCAGAGGATAGTTAAGAATGAACTGAAGGTCTATCTTCTTTTCTCTTCAGGTTTTCTTGTGAAAAGAATTCAAGAAATACCGACAATCTTATCGCGAAATAAACAATGTATTATTTTCCATAATTTAATTCGTTTGCCAACTCGGAACGGTGCGTAAATCTATCGCTATCTCTGTTCGTTATGCCCTCGCGCGCTGATCTCTCACACGTTCGCTCTCGCTGGGATTTACTATACCTAAATTTTTTAACTTCTAAGACGTCTGCCACTATTAAAGCTACACTTAATATCGTCTGCCAGGATATATTTTAAAGCAGTGACAAAAAGAGGAAATTTTTATGTATAATTTTTATACGGTCCTCATGGTTTAGTTCAGGGGTGTTTTTCCCTACATTGAAGGGCGTCTAGCGCCTTCAACGCTTCACTTGAAGTCGTCTGCCATAGCATATTTTAAAACCATAGAAAAAATGTGTTTTCTTGATAAAAATCTTTTCCGTGGCCCTTATAGTTTGGTAATTTTGTTGATCACCTAAAGAAGTCACTTATTCAGCGCCGCCCCATGTTAATGCTGCCACTTACGACTGGCAGACGAGTGATTTTATTACTAGTGTTCAACGTACTTTCAGCCTGTATTGTCGAATATTTTGTCGCTTATGGTTTAGTTACTATGTACGCTGCCTCCCAGTCTAATTAAGAATTAAGTCACTAAATATTACATTACCGCACAAACTGGAGTGGTTTCTACTAGCGCTGAAATGAAAAGGGATGACATACAACGATGCAACCCACTAGCTATTAAATGAATGGTACTGGAGTTGAAATTCAAATAGCAGTAACACTGTTGTAAAGACGCCAGACCACAAAACCAAATAAATTCACTTATTGAAGGAATTGCTGAGTGACGGCGCGAGTGACAGTGAAGTGTGGGAGCTTGAACATGTCAAATATATTTTCTGTGTTATCGTTTTCTCATTAATTAATCATTTTATAATATTAACTTCATTTATCCCTTTTGCAGTAAAGAACTTGTTCTCCATTTAACAGTAAATTTGACGATTTTTACACTTATATATTCCATGCTTAAGAGGAAGTGCGAGTCACCTTGCTCTGGGATAAGATGGGTATGTAATCAACAGTTGTATGCGTCACGTATCAATTCTTCGTGCGCAATGCGATCTTTACAGTTTTTATAATAATAAAATAATGTTTATTGAGCATGAGGTAAAACAGTCAATTGTACTTCATGCTTGTTTTTAACACACGTTGGTAATTAATAATAATAATGTAAAGATACCAGGTGTAACGAAGCACCTGGAATTTCTCCATTTAGTATGCCGTTTACAAAGACCACCCTGTATGTAACGATTGGTTAGGGCTTCGTTACGCAAAAAGACCGCGATATTTTTGTAACCACCGAAGGATGTTGTCCTGGCGAAGATGAGGGACAATTAATATTCTTTGGTTTCAGCGCCGTTAATTATTTATAAGATGTTTTAGATTTCCATAATAAGTAAAATCAAGGATAGAACGAGTTCAAATCGAGTTGTTTACAAGTTTTGCAGTCCCGTCCGTATGCCTGCATGTTGCGATAAGAGTGTTAAAGCGATAGCGCCGTTTGAGAAGAAAAAGTCCAAGGGAGCTAGTTGCAGATTGGATTGATGAGTACTTAGGTTTGATTACGCTTAATTAGGTAAGCGCTGTTAATTAATGCCATGTTAATGGGCAGTAGTAAACCTTGTCAGAAACCGTCGAGAGAGGTGTCCACAGAGGCGCTGTAATTTTTCTAGTTGTTTGCAAGTTGTCCCAGATTTTTAAGATAATCACAGGAGCCGCAATTAATTAAAAACCGAATTATTTTCTACCGCTCTCGGTACGAGCACCGCCCGGCTTTGGAAATTCCCTGTTCCACTTCCACCAAAATTGGTTTCCTTTAAAAGGAAAATGCTCATTTTGGGAGGGATCTTTCTGCTTCATACTTTCGAGTTGTAAGTACGCCTTTTGATTTTTCTAATTTGCGAAACCGTATCATTCCGAATCCACCGAACCCCTTTTGCTTTACCCTTTTACCGTTTGAGCGACCGTAAGTCAATCCGTTATCCTTTCCGTTTTGAGTTTACTTTTTTTTACCTACCGTAACTTTTACCCCGTTCCGCTAAGTTTCATTACCGCCTTAAGCTTACCGTATTTTCTATCGATAGTGTTACCACCGTTTAATTAATATCACCGTTACTTAACCAAGGTAAGCGCTTAATTTTCAATTACGTTGATTAAAGGGGGGGAAGTATATTCTGTTCTCCTTGTTTTTCCGCTTTTCGTTCCCCTAGACACCGCTAATTGATTTGTGCTTTATTGCTTTATTCCCTTTAGGAAATTTACCGTCAGGGCCGTCGGCCATATTTTGTTTTAGATAATCCGGAAGTGACCGCCGCCATTTTGTGGTGAACCCTGACCGATCCCTGGTTATTCCGTTCTCCACTAGAGGATACCCGGAGGCTTTCCACCCCGTCCGCGAAGACCGCACCGCCCCTTTTCCCAAGACTTCGGGGGTGCTGAGTGAAGTCTTGGTGGCGCCCGAGAGACCGACCGACCGTTTACTTTGTGAATTGAATCGTACAATTATATAATTAGTCATCCATTAAAGGAACTTGAAATAATATTGTGCTTTCATCTTTTAAGGTACCGGTTGTGCACGAGCGAAGGGGGAAGTTCGTCGCACAGGCAACAAACCAAATGTTACTTATACCACACGTTTGTAGCGCACCTACCTTAGCTCAGAGCAAGAGGAATCTCCCAACGTCATGTAGACAATAGAACAGCAGAGAGTAGAGAAATAGCCTTCAAACCATACTGATTAATGCAGAGAGAATATTCTAAATTAAGTTAGAAGGCCAACAGTAGAAGTTAAAGCAAGAAGAAAGAAATTCAACAAGATCGTTGAGTATAAATTACTTACCACAATGTAAAGAACAGTTTATTAACACTTCAACTTCTTTGTTATTTTTGTATATGGAAATCAGAGAAACAGTGCCATCTAAATGTCCCACTAACAAATAATTTCTGTTTGTCGAATCTTGTTTTTTACATGTGGGCCAGGATAGGCAAGTCACACACTCGGATTGTTTTTCGATGAACCACTCATCGCAATATTCTTCTTCGGGAAATGAATTTACAGGCCAAATATTAACAATGTTTTCCATCGCGGCCGCAATATAATCGCCTTTAGGTGACCACTTAATATGGCCTATTAACTTTCCTTGCAACTCTGCACCATATGCATCCAATGACTCGTGAAACACCAGCGTTCTTTCCAAATATGTACTTGAATTTGCGCATTTCCAAAGACGTACCGTACCATCAAACGCGCTCGACGCAAGTAAGTGTTTACTGCTGCACCAAGCCAAAGCAATAATTCTATTTTCGTGGCCTTCTAAGTATGTTACGTTTTTTTCTGGATTTGTGGACGTAATGTCGGAAAGATCGACCTGCTCGTAGGTTTTAACCGATAAAATTTGAATTTTTGTTGCGATGCATTTAAATAATTGTTCAGCGGCCCACTGTCTATATTCCGCAAATGTCTTTGATGATAGTAGAAAGGCGGACAAAGCATTTTCCAAAGTTAGTGGACCACAAACGTCAATATCGTCTTTCTGTACCACAGTGAGAGAATAACCACCATGTGCACTTAAAACCTCCACCAATGCTTGCGTTACTTCAAAACCACTTCTTGCAATAGAAGGACACATAGCCATTAATAATAAATCTTTCGTGCACATATCCACAACTAACTTGGAAGAATCAGGGCTATTTTGAGAGAGTGCCGCTATTATTACGCTTAAATTAGTTAGCCAACTACTTGCAACTGATGATGAAGAACCCCAACGTGAAACATTTAGCAGTAACGATGCGGAATTGTTCATTTCCATCTCGCACTCACCATTTGGAATCTCCACACGCTTCATAGCAACCAACGTCATCAAACGTACAATTTTACATATATCTGTCAAACCCATTGCCTCTAGACTTTTAACAAGACCTGTTAAATTCGAAGTCTTTGCTAACTGCGTTAGTATATTCAATACTATCGAACGTGAAAGCAAAATATGCACAGATGTAGTCAAATACTTCAGAGCTTCAACCCTATCTTGAGATGTTTTCAATGAGATTGCTTGACTCCCAAGATAGCGCATTTGATAATCGCATTTCACAAAACATTTGTTGCCAACTGTAGAAACAGCAGACATGCCTAATGGATCATTTTCAAGAAACGAAACAGGGCTCAGATAATCTTTTCCGGGTAATACTAAGGGTAATCCTAGAAAGGATTTTATATTTTCAACCGACGAAAAATCGGGAACTCTGAATTGCATAGTTTGCGAATCAACTTCGCTTGTATCTAAAAGTTTAAACTATTATTTATACCGCTGGTACAATTTCTTACCATCGTGAGCAAAAATTATATCGGGAGCTTGAAGTTGTAAACTCGTTCTAACCACTTCTTTCTCTCTCCCTTCTTTGCAAAAAGGACAATGCGCTACGTGCACTAGAAGTCAGTATAATTATTACGAATAAATTGTTAACATACCTGTCGCGTTACTGGGCGTGGTCTGTTCACGTCTACACTGCCTAAGTTTACAAATTTTATGAGCCATGTCCTACAATGATAAAGACAAATTTGAATTATGCAGTCGATTACTATACTTAATTACTTCAACGCTTGTGGGTTCGGTGTTAGGTTCTTCAATTGAGAGATCTTCAAAAGAAAATGGGGATAAAAGAGGATGCCCTTCACCTCGTACATGCTGCCTTTCCAAACCACGTTCTACTCTCTCAATTCTATCCGTTATATGTCTTAGCAGATCCGAATATGGTCTACGGACCGAACAGACGACCTGGCGACCAAAATAAGAAATCGGTTCTGCATTTTCTTGACTCTGTAAAGCAAAAGTATAATCAAAATCGTACTATGGAATAGTGACTAAAATTATAAGCTTAATCTTCCATGTTTGTGTATTATTTCAAAATATACGATTTTTATGTTGTGAAACAATACCTAAACTTTACTGCAGGCGGGCAGTGTGTGAGAAGGATCTATTACTCATTTTAAGTGTATTATTTGGGGTGTGCTAAAATAAGGTGCCATTTTGTAGCTCTTCAACTTACAAGAAACTTAAAGCAGATGTTTCTACATTTTATCACACAATTTTACATTTTACAATTAAATAAACAATACGCAATTACAAAAATTCTAAAACGAAATAACACTACAGAAAAACAAACTCAAATGAAATAAACTCTGTGTTTATTCGCACCCTCAATTTACTTTAATAAGATTGAAATGTTTCTCATATACAGGGTAGCCCATCATTATTCTCAGTGTTTAGAACAAAGTAACGTCAACACGACGACACAATAATGAATACAAGGTGTTTTCTGTTAATGTTATTATGACGATTTTTGTCTTACTCCGTATGTTTAGTATGTACAATAAAATTTTGTGATCATTATAACTTTTTCTTTAAACATATAGTGATCACTCGGAAAAGAACGGAATACAATTTCATGATTAAACAAATTTTAGTACCTCAGTGAAGTTCAATCATAATTGTAGGACCAAAAGATCTGGTTCCACTCTCACCTACCCAGTTTTGCGGTAGTGTGGATTGTCATAGCAATGAGCTCTTGCGTGTAGAAGGAACGTGCTCCTTTACTCCTTCTTTGTTTCTGTTTTACATTGTGTGGCGCGTAAGCCCAGAAAATGTATACTTACCAGAAGTCGCAGCTCGTCGTAATTCTATGTAAAAGCTGCAACCTTAGACCATATAGTACATACAATGGTCTAAAGCTGCAACTCGCGCAGCTTCGGAGCGCAAATATGGAACAGTGACAGCTGATTTTTATTTACGTTTTTTAATTTGCGATTTTGGTAAATTTAGCGGTTGAAATAGACACACCTAATTCATGTACATAAAAACAATGCAGTGATTAAGTTGAATAGAATTAGTAGTAATGTGTTTTATAACTTGATTTGTACTTGGTAACAAAATCACACCAGTCACATTTTAAATCCTGGCAGATTCAATGTCTTGACACGTCATGTTAGATGTTAAGATGTGCTTTAAGACTGTTTGGTGACAAACGCGCAACTGGGCCCACTTTAAATCCTTGATGATCTTGTAGGTTAATAAATGTGTTTTTTCATTTGCCTATTATACAGGGTGATTCCTATAGTACCTGCCACCGTTTGGGAGCGTATAGGGGGTGCCTAGGGGAGTATTTTGATATAGGACACTTGGGGTCGGAAATCTAAAATAAGGGCGCCAGAACCAAATTTATCTTCTGGAATTTCACGCCTGTATGTAGGCAACCCAACCGACCGACGTTTCGCGCGGAGCGATGCAGAGCGAGTTAGCGCGAGGAAGCGACATGGGAGGGAAGGAGGGAAAACGACAGTCAAAAGCAATAACGTTTACAAGTGTTCAACGTGGCCACCGTTGTTCTCAATGCACTTCCTACATCTAGCCAACTATTATTATACTATTGCCATAGTGTTTATTCACTTGATACGCGTCGTTGCAGACGGGATTTCGTGGGTTTAAACAAAATTCTGATCAAGTGTCAGCCACACATCGCCGCCTGAGATCGCTCCGTGTGCACCGCCGGCCGGTTGGGTTGCCTACCTACAGGCGCGAAATTCCAGAAGGTAAATTTGGCTCTGGCACCCTTATTTTAGATTTCCGACCCCAAGTGTCCTATATCAAAATACTCCCCTACGCACCACCTACACGCTCCCAAACGGTGGCAGGTACTATAGGAATCACCCTGTATGTCAATTATATCTGTCATATGTGATATATGAAGCAGTCTATTACGCCCAAGGGCATAATGAGAGGGCATAATGGATTGTCATCTCATTATGCCCTCAAACGGCCTGTCAAATTGATTGACGGAGTTATATTATGTAATAAAAAAGATGCAACTTGATTCGTATGAAGCACTTTAATGTTGGGCAAACAATAATCATGACATTTGTATATTGGAAATGCATTCTTTGAATGATGAAAAATAAAATGGCCTCAGGCATTACTCCATATTTAATCCTCGGGCGACTTACAATCCCTCGGGCTCTGTCGCCCTCGGCATAAATATCGCCTTAATGCCCTTGATGCATAAATAACTATTTATAATTAGACTTATCATTCGTTCCTCTTTATTCATTGTTCGTTCCAAAGTCACACTGGACACATTTTAAAATCATGGTAGTCTCATGTGTCTGTTAAAATGCCACTGTGTATATGCGATGTTCTACTTACAATGCAAAGTAAGTATATCTCTGTTGGATATTTATTTTTCATGCCAGTCATGTAAACTCCCATTAATAAATACAATCACTAATTTTAAATAACGTCCTTAGTCCTTAGAAAAGACGTGTCTTTTAATAAACAAAATTCTTGTAAATAATTTCGTTTAATTTTGTTACGCACTCATGGGAATTTATACAATAGTTTGTCAAATTAAAGGTAGCGTGAAAAATCATCAACTGCCATAGTTACGAGTTCTATTTGAGACAAAGAACATCTAAGGAACCGACGCGAAGTGCAACTTCTGGGAGTATTCCTTTTCTGAGGCGTAAGTCCCAGATGAGCTTTCTTTATACAATAATTAAAACTAAACTTCACTACGGTAAGCTCGTTTAATCATTAAAAAGAATTCTGTTATTGAGGGGGAACAGAAAATACAAAAAAACACAGGGCACTCTGTTTACAAAAACCATGTCGACATGCACACGACTTTTCGCGAACACCCTGTATATCCAAAAATGATTTAAGGCTTTTCGCACCACAAAAGCGCATTTTCCAAAAGACTGTAAGTGTTGGCCGCGCATTTCTGAGATCCCTCGGTAACCACCTGGACAGCTACTTTCCAGTCGGTCGGCCCAGAGCATGGAAAATGTGTTTCCAGGAGGCATGTGAGCGCCTCACCCGCGGTAGACGTATGTCTGTCGCATGGAAACCTCGTCTTCACTTTTTGCCCTTTTGTCACAGCTACTATTAGTAAAGAAAAACAAAGCTCGCATATAAATGGCCTTTTGGGAAGTACTGATCAAAGCATGGAATTTGCGTTAAAGTTACTCGCCTTAAGGCGAAGACCTTTTTACATGTTTTTAATCGCGGCCATTTATGTCGCCTACAGAAGGTTGGATTCACCATGTAATTAAATTGTCTAAACGTAGGTTCATAACTCTCAGTTGGTCTGTTGCATTTTGTGAAACAGATAGTACATTTTGTTCAGGTTGATAGCAATACGTCCACATCATACGTTGACAAGGTATAGTCATAACCTAAATTTTATTTTGTACTGGACCTACTGTGATCTTCAGTACTACAAGTAAAAACACTTTGCTATCTGATTATCACCCTGAAGAACACTATTCATGTAACAAACATGACTTTATTAAGGCTTTCCGATAATTCAACTGGTTTAACCAGATATACCAATAACAGGCGATCAAATGGGGGGAGGGGGAGGGGGCGAACACACGTTCTACCCTTCATGGTATTCTAATGACACGTCTCATCGAAATGAATTGGTTTGTACAAACTATAACTTTCCTGTACGTCTCCTTTCCGAGATAAGTAGCTGGCCGGAGGAAGAGAGAGGGAAAGAAATTAATTTTATCTTATAGGTCTCAACGAAAAAAACTGTTTTCTAACAACTACCGCCCTACTTTCCGACTCCTTATCAAAAGAGAAAATGGGAGGGGGGGAGGGGACTGGTTTTATCCTTCAGGGTACTCTTAATGCAAGGTCTCAACGAAAGGAATTAACTTCTACCAACCATAGCACCCTCCTCGACATTTTATCGTGATCGGATAGAAATAATTCTTTATATCTCAAGAAAAGAATGTCAGAGGCTGGTACTCACAAAGGGCGATTGAGACGTCTGGAAGAAATATATCTGTTAGTGATGTCAAAACTTTATGAGCGAATATCTCGAAAACGCTTTGTCGGAGGAAAGTACTCACAAAGGCAAAATTAATTGTCTGGACGAGACATATTTATTGGTGAGGTCTTCCCATGAATATTCTAACAAGAAAGAAAACTACCTTATAACGCAACCATTTACTAAGTTATTTCGGTTTTAAAAAATGCGCTTTATCTGCACAAAAGTTGTGCGCAATTTATACTTGTACTTCTTCAATACCTGCAAAAGTGTTGTAGACGTCGCCGTCACTTAAATAAGGACGTATAAGCGTAATAGGCAAACATTTCAGGAAGCTCCCACTAAATATAATACCATGGCCTTTGTGACCAGACTATTGAACTACTAGAAGCATTTATAACAATATTGGCATTTCTAAATACAAAGCTAATAAACAAAACTCTGCGGTGCCACCATAACCTTAGATCATATATATTGACATGGATAGAGCTATCTCATAAGCTCTACGAAAAGACAACCGTCGCTAACATCCCAACCTGCATTTTTATGCCTATCATCTTTTACTATTAGTAAGTCGTAATGTATTTATCCTTTGCAGGGTTGATTGTAAAAGTGCGGTAGCTTGGCGATTGCATACAGTGAACACCGTTTAGAGATACCGCGCTGTGTAAATTATTGAATTGAATTGAATATAGATGGCCATTGAAAGAATCAAGTGCCTCCCTCTTAATTCCAGAGTAGTGTACTTATTTTCCGTCTAGGATTCAAACCTTCGCAATTAAAAGCTCGCGAATACCAAGGTTTTTATGATATAAATATGTAACTGTATACGTGTCCTACGTCCCATACCTATAAATTGCGCGGCCAGCAAAATGGTTTTTATTTTCATAACTTGCGTCTACATTGTGACTGGATATTATTATAACATGTGCGCGTCAAGAATTAAAAACAAGTTAAAAAGTAATCGTAAACGATTTACATAAAGCGCATTTCCACTTGCATTCATTTCCCATTTGTAAGATGCAACTTCTGTTAAAATCGTAAAAATCCGGCCACAAATATGAAAGGTAGCGTTGCACATGGGCAATCCATTTTTGACGTGCTACTTCAATTTCAGTTTATGAGAAGAATTTCATTTCAATGCTTTTCTAAATAAGAAAGTTGGAACTGCGCATGCGCAAACCTAAATTTGAAAACTAATGTTAGATTTTCCTTTGTTCCAAGCGCCAAAGTATCAAATTTCACTTAAATGCTTCCATAGATAAAAAAAGTTGACACTGCGCATGCGCAAAACCAAATTTTGAAACTAGCGTTAGACCAAGTGCCTATGTATCACATTTCATTTAAATTCTTCCATAAATAAAAAAGTTGGCACTGCGCATGCGCAAAACCAAATTTTGAAATTGGCGTTTGTATTTCCTTTATTCTAAGTGCCTATGTATCAAATTTGATTCAAATACTTTTATAAGAAAAAAAGTTTGCAATTCGGTTTATAAATGGTCGAGATGCGAAAAGGACACTGTGAATTTTGAATCGATTCGAATTAACTTTTGGCATTGCGTATTATATGGCTAAGGCTATGTGCATATTGAATTTCATGCAATTCAGTTCATAACTAACGGAGATCTAAAAGCGATCGGACATTTCTAAACAAAATTTTCGTTCACACGGACAGATAGAGGGACAGACAGACAAAGGAACAGACAGACAAAGGAACAGACGAACAGACCAACAGACAGACGACAGACAACAATACAAAATTATAAACGATCTCTAGGATCGTTAATAAACGGCAAAAGTGTAAAATTTTAGTTTTTTTACAATAACTTTGTTAGCAATAAACGCAGAAAAAATTCCCTTTTGGTGCAAGCCTCGACACCATAACGAACCAAATAGCGAAAAAAGTAGAACAATAGCCAAAATAGCGCATTTTTATTTTATTTTTGTGGAAATGCACTAAAAAGGGTTATATTATTGAATGAACACATGTTTAAATACCCAGTTACATAATGGGGGGGGGGGCATAAATGTTTATTAATTGGACCCAGATATTTGCAATATTCGGCAAAATTGCCTGAAATCGGGGTGTATTGACGTTTGCGTAATAACCTACTGTACTTTCCTATACATATTTTGATTTGATTACCACAGAATTTAATTTGACCTCATCCGGCAATCTACGCTAAATCTTTTTAGTTGCATAGTTGCACAATAATTAAAACGCGATGTCTCTTTGGTAGGGCATTTGTGGATATGGGTGTCTAAAAAACTATCAACCTATTTTATTAATAGTTTCCGTTTTTCCCAAATTTTTCGAAAAATGCAAGGTTACGCGACTTGTTAGCTGCTTTGAGAAATTTGATATTCTCTATGCATTGCATCATTGCTTTATCAAAGGAAAATCTACGGTTAGCGATCTATTAAATTCTATTAAGAGTCTATTTTGATATGTGCAAGGTTCAACCACCACCTACTAAACCGGAATAATACGGAATTACCTACTGGAAATGTCCATCACTGGATCACATTGTAATTTGTTCTCGATCGAGTGACGTAAAAATCCAATGTGGCGTCCGTAAGACAGAAGAAAGTTGATGTGATATAGTCGAAACCCACAAGTCATGAAAATTTTAAGTTAGCACCATTAGAAAGCTGAGAAAAAATTACTAAGGGTTTTGTTAATAGTCAGCATAAAATTCTGCAATTCCGTGCGACTTTGTATCACATCACACTATTCGAGGATTCTCTCTGGTGCTTGGCGATCAAACTGTTCTACCATCTTCCACAAGAATTGCAGACATCTACGTCGGCCAAAAAATTTAAAAGTCAAGTCGGTGAATTTTTCACAATTTCACAAACAATCCATACTATCACGTCAACGAATACCTCCAACCAAGGCCTGCGCGACTGTGATTTATTGTAATATGTATAATGATGTAAATGATTAGAAATTGGGGAAAAATAATTATAAAACAGCTGAATTTTTCCGCGGGTGAAATCCCGGGGGTTGAAAGGGGTGGAAAGTGGTAATTGACAATTTGTGGCAAAAATGATTTGAGATATAATCCCCTGGAATAAACTTCATGAGGATTTTATTCATAATTCCTGTAAATTAACGATCAACAGGCCAAGCGCAATCGCATCAGGTGTAAAACAGTCAGGAAGAAGAGTTAGTGAATAAAAACAAGTTGTTCAGGTGTAAGAGATGTTTGTTGGCAACAGCGCTTTGTTTAATTTCATGTAAAAGCGATAACACTGTTTCGTAAATGTTATGAAGGTAAGTTCAGTCGAATGAATAACTAGGAAACAAAAGAAAATATTTTAGCAACATTAAAGAGGAGAGAGAAGACAGATTTCAAAAACTCTTTATTAGCGCGGATCGAATACGTTAGTTAGTTGCCAAAAAAGCTAGGTATACTATGTCACAAAACTGTGTATCTCTTAAAACTGTTCCCCCAGTTTTTGCCGCTTTTCTTGAAATTTTTCTATTGGAATAATATTTTTTATTTTTGATTAATAAAATAGTAATAAGTCCTTACGAAAATTTTGGTACCTGGAGCAACTGTGTACGATGAAAAAAATAGATTTTTCATCTCCTTGAAAAAGAGGTGGTTTTTTCAGAAATTGCGTGAGATCTCGGAAACGGTTCAACTTTACGGTCCCAAAAATCTCTCCTTTTTTATAATAAAACACGCTATGTTTCCTCCAAATTTCAAACCTTTTTTTCGCAAAAATAAAAATTAAAAACGAAAAAAACACTTTTCCCGGTTTTTCTAGAAAAAAATTGGAGGTTATGTGAAAATAGTGCAGATACAAAAGTTGTTCATTTTTTTATTCTCTATAACTTTTGCATTGACCATTTTCGTCTAAAATTAATAGTTTTGCCACAATTTGCGAAATACCACTTTCACCCCTTTCAACCCCCAGGATTTCACCCGCGGAAAAATTCAGCTGTTTTAATTATTTTTCCCCAATTTCCCCGGTTTTGCCCCATAACTAATTTTTTTTGAAAAAAATTATTTTAGCAGCTAGGTATTTAGCCTGGACCACGGTGGTATACGGTGGTCTATACCACAGTGGCCTGGACTAATATGGAAATAAATAAGACATTTTGGTAAAATATGGATTTTTGGGTAATTAGTCGTTGGTTATGGAATAATCCATGAAAAATTGTATAACAGAACGATTTAAAAAGTGTTTGTTACACATAATTAACGAAGTAAATATGACTGTTTGGTAATTGGTAGCGTTCCCATTTGTATTCTGTGTCAAGACGAATCCAACGATATACCATACCCGATACCACAGATATATTCTTTCTGTGCCCATATGTTCATACCTCTATGAATCGAGTAACTCATCAAATTGCAAGTTTTATTTCCTTTACAAGTGAAAGTTTTTTCTCTCAACTTTTTAACATTTTTTTAAGGTGTACGGTGTTCTTAACGCTGGATATAATCCAACTTAATAATATCTTTATGATAAGGTTATTTTTAGATAAACGGAATGAAAGCAGCTGGTACCTCGTTGTGAATGAACTTACTCATACTATGAATATGTAGCGGTTGCGAATTACTACCTACACTAGAGTACAGTTGCAGTTGCAACTTTCACGAATGATGACGTAATTTCATTTAAAGCTCAGCTTTGAAATATCTTAAGCTCTTTTTAAAGGCTCTTATAGACAGATATAACAGATTCGAATACAGCAACCAGCATTTGTCACTAGATAGCAGCATTGCAAGGCCATAATTGTTATAAACCCACATTCCCTATCCCGTGGCATCTCTAAACGTTGTTTACTCTATGGCGATTGTAAGGACGTTTGACCGCTTGAGATCGTATATTCGCAAACAGCTGTTTTTGTTGTTTAACCTTGCTTGACTTTACATGGTTATATATGAAACTAAACTTTTAATACAGTTCTGTAATAGTAAATTGTCCTATAAAGATGTATTTATTCATGTATTGAGTGAGAACCTTTTTTACCCTAAATAATAAATATGAACTCTTGAATCAGAACATGTTGGCGATATAGTGTAACTGCATGCTCCGTCCATGTTAATATGTATGATCGAAGACCATTACCAACTGAAGTTTGACATTTACTTAAAAAAACTGTCAAAATCTTTGTTTGAGATTGGCTCAGATTTTGCAGTAGGTTATGTCCCTTAGAGAAAAAAGCCCCTTTATCGTCATATTTACGGTTGCAAACTAAACCAAAGGTATAGAAAACGTATTTACTTACCTGCACACGATGCACATCTGATGTAGGTAAAAATCTAGAGTTTCTGTTCACTTCATAAGAATTAGAAGCGTCGCTTTCTGTAGATAATCTGGTCGTATCAGTGATAAGCTCAACGTTTCCAGTAGCTCCATCTTCAATATAAGGATGGTCAATCATCCATGTCGCAAGCGCATTTATGTTGTGAGCACTGACTTCGGCAGAGCTTCTCGTCGATTGCACAGCTTTTAAAATATGCTTTAGAGTAAAACCCATTTCCAATAATGGTGCCGCTACTGGTGGAGGAAGAGGAGACAAATGGTCCGCTTGGGATTCTAACCAACCAACAGTTGGCACTACATTGCCAGACCACACTCGCCCCCGTCCTCGGGCTCGACCTCTACGAGCTTGAACTGGTACTATTACTTATGGGAATTTAAATTAATCAGTAATACAAACCTGATCGAGAAGTGGAATTGGTGTGCTCATAACAATTCATAAGAGGCCTTGAGAAGATTATAGGTATTTGACCGTGGGTCAGTGTTGAACTGGTACATGCGGAGCTAGATGGAAGATTGGGCCTGCTTGATGAGCTAAGACTGAAACATTCCTTAGTCGACGTATCGCTTTGAGCAAATTGATCACGATCAATATCATCCTCAGAACAACACTTGACATAATTATAATGTAAAACGCTTTCAGCCCGTTCAAATTCCATCATATTAGCGATATTTTTTAATTTACACCGTGATGTTCCTTTACTTACTAGACTACACATTATTTCCTTAACAGAACTACATAAATTCTCATCTTCAAATTTATCTTCTGTTTCACTGCTCTTGCTATCTCGTTTATTAAGTTGAACGTTGGCAAGCAGTGCATCTAAATATTTACCCGATGTAAGTAGCACATTTAACACTTTCAAGGAAGAAAACTGAAGTATTGACAATCGTAAACAAATTCCTTCAATATTTAAAAGTTTGAGTCTAAGTTGTTTGGCATCTTGTCGAACTGCCTGTCTCTGTGCCTCCTCATATGCGGTATTAACGGTAGATGTTTTTTGAGTGGCGATCCTTTCAGCGCTCACTTTTTTAACCTCACACATAATTTTTGATACAATATCATTTGTTATTGACTCAACAGTCTTTGTAACATTACCCTTATCTTGAACTTGAGTGTCTGAATTAGAACGCCATTCATCTCCGCCCCAAGCCTCGAAATGTTCCATCTGCGAATTTTCTGGTTTTAGCAAATTTTCTTCGGCTTGTGTTAATGTAATCGTGGGTAACTTAATTTCTTCAATGATCCCACTAAGACGAGCAATATTTCTCAATATTTCCGTTGATATACCTAAGGTGGGAAATTGACGAGCATATGCCCAAGAATACGGTTTAGCTACCTGTTAATTTGGAACAATCGAACGGTTCGGATTCCAAATGAACTAGTAAAGCTGCTGAGATGTCGGACACTTCGTTCTCAGGAATCCATTGAACTTTCACCATTGTTATGCCTCTTTTTACGATACCAAGTATCACAGCTTTGCGACCTGTATTTTTGTGCTGACATAAACCACCCATTCGCAAACCTCGGTCAATTCCTAAAACATGCCGAACTAGTTGTTGTATGCCTCAGTTAAGATTAGTTGCAAACGAAACAAAAATGTTGCCACACTCACCGCCAATAATGGCTAAAGCTGGCCAAATGACGTTGCAAAGTTTTTTACTATTAAAATAGTCTTCAGGATCACTTTCCGTATTCGATAAACAATCATTTGGTGATGAAGTGGTAATGTTTTGAAGTAAATCTTCAATTTGATTTAGGCGTTCTATAATGCACGAGTTCACCTAAAAAAGAACCGAAGCTATACTTTTCAAGACATACTGTAGCGAATATTCCAGAAATTTTGGTAGGCATCCAGGCGCCATGAAAGATTATCATCGGCGGTAAAGAGCGAAGGCGGATGTGACGCAATCCTACCAGGAAAAATGACATATATTCAAGAACATTCCAAAGCGTTCTAAAAACATTCTTATAGAACAATTGTTGTTTACGATATAAGCAAATTGTAGAGTATTGCTGGGCAGTTCCAACTTCAATACGCTTGTGTTATGTTATAATTGTAAGTGACAAATAATAATTGCTGTTATAAATTAATCCATTTTAAGACTTATAAATTTATTGTTAGTTAAAACGTAATAAAGTTTACATTACACTGGTGTCAATAGACCGAGAGATAATGGCAGATTTTTTGCGATGAGAATTTGAAAAATTTCTTAAAAATAGAACCGACCACTCAACAGACGTATGATATACTTTTATACGCTAGTTCTAACTTATGTAAAGAGAAAATTGCGTTGACAGACGTTTACTAATCATCGCACAAAATCTGTCATTATCTCTTGGTCTACAAGAATCAGGTTGTGTTAAGTGGACAATCAGTGAAAGTTTATGCCAATAGTGATCAGATCTAAGTCTGAAAAAATGAAACAACTGCTGCAGTTGATGCAAGAAATGAAAGTCGGTCAAGATGAAATGAAAACTGGTCAACAAATCATGGAAGCTAATTTCGAAACTGGTCAAGCTCAAACAAAAGCCGGTCAACAATCCAAAATCGAAGCGGGTCCACAGGAAGTAAAAGGTAAAATTCAAGATGAGATACAGGGTGTCCAAGATAAAATTCATATGATACAATTTATGGTATTAACTGAAGAATCCGAAATGAGTTTTGTGTCATCTTTGATAGCACAAGATCTACTTGCTGTTCCACAACTGTCCCGCAAAGAAGCCGCCGAAACGTGTGAGAGTATCGGTACGCCGAAAGTTCAAGTTCAGACTCACTTGAGACAGTTTGAGGCCTCTCTCATTTGCGGGAACAAAGTGTACGTTTACTTTTTGCGGGAGGTAAAGTAATCAAAAACTCCCTAAGGGAGTTAAAGTAATTTCCATGGAAACGCAAATGCGTTGGTCTGTAACCCACATTCTGGCATTTCAGAAATGTAGTTAATTTTGGGTATTTGATGTCCATATCTTTCTTCACGGCTAACTCGCTATTAAAAGATTTCCAAACTACTCAGGTTACTTTAAATGCGCAATTGAAAGCTTGAAATTAATTGCCAATTAATTGTTAGTATTGACAGTTGGTTGCTAGATAACAATGGGCGATCGCGAGTAAATTGATGTCCGTTAACTAATTATCTCCAAGCGGGTAGCTACTCTGTTTTCTTTAAACGAAAACGATTTAATGGTTGAATTGATGAACGCCAAGACAAAACCAGCTAACAGTGTGTCCCAGATCGCGTGGGATTGCATGGGTAACTTCCTTATTATTAACGAGCTCCTAGCGAGTTTCTAATTTTGTGGCGTCTGTCCGTCCGTCCGTCCGTTAGCACGATAACTCATAAACGAATGGATCGATTACGATGAAATTTTGCAGGTGGATGCTTTATCAAATTTGTAGATCGGAGTTCGTGAATTGGCAATGTAGCCAAAAAAAATAAAGTAGGCCCTTTATCTCCGTTAGTTATGAACCGAATTGCATGAAATTCAATATGCGCATGGCTTTATCCATATAAAACACAATTCCAAAAGTTGAGCCTAATCGATCAGCATTCACAGTGCCCTTTGCGCATCTCGACCACTTGCAGACCGAATTGCAAACTTTCTTATTTATGAAGGTATTTAAATGAAATTTGATACATAGCCACTTGGAATAAAAGCAAATTTAACGCAGTTTCAAAATTTGGTTTTGCGCATGCGCAGTGCCAACTTTCTTATTTATGGAGACAATTAAATAAAATTTGATACATAGACACTTGGAATAAAACCAAATTTTACGCCAGTTTCAAAATTTCGTTTTGCGCATGCGCAGTGCCAACTTTCTGATTTATAGGGGGATTTAAATTAAATTTGGTACATAACCACTTGGAATAAAAGAAAATTTAACATCAGTTTCAACATTTGGTTTTGCGCATGCGCAGCTTATTTATGGAGGCATTCAAATGAAATTTCATACATATACACTTTAAATAAAAGCAAAACTAACATCAGGTTTAAAATTTGGTTTTGCACATGCTATAGCCATTGTTTAAATACTTTATAGTTGAACAGATCCAATGTAAAAATACTTGCCGTTATATTTCTTTTGACACAGCTGTACCTTCCGCATTTTGCATCCGCCAAGTAGTGTACTCTATTAATAACAAACAAAAGTACGTTAAAAAAGTTGAGGATCACAACTTTACGCATTCCTTTATAAACAAGGATAAAGTATAAAAACATTAGAGGAATGTCGGTGTTGGTGAGCAGATATATAAGGTATCATTGTTTTGAATAATGGTATATCAAGTTACAGCTATCTTACAATGTATGCCACGAGACGATTATCCCTTTAATAAAAGACTGCATACGTTTCCCGTTTCAGTAATAAAGTTCCATTTTGCCAAGTTTACTTAGCTAATTCTTTTTTTTCAAAATATCTTTGAATTTAAACCACCATCATTTTGGTAGAAATTTTAGTGATTATGTACTTGCATTCTTTTGTATTAGTTGCCGTTGCATGCAAAAATGAAATTACAGTTACTTACTTACTTATTATTTATTAACTGTGCATGATGAGAGCATAACTATTTGTTTGTATGCAAGTTACAAAAAAGATTATCACTTAAGAAAAACAGCCCTCACCATTTTCCTACAGCTACTGCAAAGTGTTGCCAGGTGCGACGGGATTCATTGGTGCCGAAGCTATTTTACGCGGACAAAGTGCGGACTGCAGTGACGATGGACAATGGAAATGTCTCTAAATTACTATTTGTACAGAAGAAGGAACCTATGTGCAATTTTTCTGTATAAATGCAAAAAATTTGTAAGACAAAACAAGCATTGTTTCTTTGATAATCTCGTATTCACAGAAAAACGATGCAACTTTTTTCATTTCTGATAAATGAAAGCTCATTACTCTCTTCAACTGAAAGCTGAAGACCTAGCTTTGCTGCCCAAACAGATATGGTTTTTGCATGTTGTTTACTTCAATAGCCATGTCACAACTGTTTTTCTAACCACTGGTAATTATATTCCAGAAAATGATGGCAAAACGTACAAGTGGACCTAACGCATATATACGGTTACCTTTTAAAGGAATTTTTCAAAAGAAATTGCCCTTATGTGATGGTTTTGTCCGCCCGTCTGTTCGTTCGTATATCCATCTGTTCCTCGTCTAAACTCGAAAACGAAAAGAAACAGCGACGTTAATCCTTCGCCAATCGATTTCAAGGATTAGTGCTAAATATTGAAGGATCCTTAGCTCGGTCCACCACTTTTTTAACGTCCATTTATTTCAACCTTGCAAAATACTAATAAATAAATTCGAATCTAGAGCATCATAATAATGCTCTTGGTCTATTTCCCAACGATCCTGGTGCATGAATAACGATTTTGACATGATTTGATCAGAATACATATGGTCAACAAAAAAGTATCAAATGCATGGCTTGGGTATCAAGATAATGCTGTTGGTCTTTTTCCCAACTATCTTGGTGCATGAATAATCTTTTGACATGTTTTGATCATAATACATATGGTCAATAAAAATACATCAAATTCATGTTTCCGGCATTGAAAGCTTTTACAACTCTAAATTCATGTGAGAAGACTAATTTTGGGTACATTTTGCTCTAACACTTTTGACCTAAACCACAGAGAAGAATATTGAATTGTTACACATCTAAGTGTCAGGGAATAATCTAGCGACAATCCGAACTCGATACATGACCTAGGCAATGAAAATATGTTGATTTCTATTATACTGAGCCCACAGTGTTTCCTGTTCCCGTTTCACTCGAAGTCCTATAACTTTGTTCCTGTTGAGCCAGCTTCCTGAAAATCAATAGCGTCCGACCCTCGATACGACCTTAATGTCCAAAGTATCTACTCGTACGCCATTTCAACATGATCGGTCACTTTTAAAAAGAGGTATAGTGCACACGGACGGACGGACAATACAAAACTATAAAGGCTCTGAAGATCCTTAATAAATTAGTGTAATTTAGAGTTTTGAACAAATAATAATAGGTATAAAGGTAACGAAATACATTTCAATTGAATTCAGCTTTTTTTCGACTTCTAATAATAGCATTGTTTAAAGACTTTATAATAAAATCCATATATTCTGGGTAAACTCCCATACAAATGAATACCGAACGATCTTCGAAATTGTTTTTGCTCGATAGTCTACCTCTACGTATCTGAAAAACAATAACGACCTTTCTGATTTGTGTTAAAATTTTCAAAGGGATATGGGACGTTTTTAAACAAAGTTATCGTGCACACTGACAGACAGACAGACAGCAATACAAAATTATAAACGATCTCGAGGATCGTTAAATGTGAATAATCCACATTACGTCAAAAAAAACGATTTACCTTTTACAGGGATTGTATTGTAGGGACTTGAAATCAGAGTGTATTTACTGCACCGTCGCATGCTTTTTTTTAATACAAACTTAAAGCAAAATTTACTACCAGATTTTAATTATCGTAATTTATCTTGTTTGAACGCAACAAAAATTATTATAAATGCGAATTCCCTTAAACACACAATAGGTAAAAACAAGTACGTAATTTAATTATTATAAGCGCAGTGAAAAAAAACGGTCTTTACTTTAGAGCTTCAAATAAAGATTAAATAAAATATGTGACTCTTTCTCTTAACAGGAAAGTAAAAGGAATTTGCTGTCGAACTATACATCAGCGTTTTGTTTATATAGTATAATCGTAGCCGTATCGAGTTACAACTTGCATTCTTGCTCAACGTCGCCTCAGTTACTCTGTGTAGCCGATCGGGTTACAT